CACTCATCACTTCTACTAATAGGCTTAAACCTTGTAGGTTTTACATTTAATGATCAGTCCTTCTCTGAATGCAATCTGATTGATAAAATATTCAGTTTGTGCCTATTAGCTCTAGATTAATGTCAGACTGTGTATGTTGGACTAGAAATCTCGGCTATTAATATTCAGCCTCTCCAGTTAACATTCACTGATAATCAAGATATATTTTGGTCATGGTTGATGCCAAGGTAGGGTGAAGGGACAGACTAGACAATCTCCTGAGACACCTTGCAGCAATTTTCCTTTAGTGGAAAGCCTGGCATGCTGCTTATGCTCATTTAATTGTACAGCATTTCAAAAGCACTGACATGTGCTTTCACAGTTTCTGCACTGATTGCATTGAAGAAATTTGAAACTATGTAAAACATATGTTTAAAAATGTACTTAACCCTGCATGTCTTCTGTAACATCAGTATTCAGCAAACACAGAGGTACTAAACAGAAGAACAGCACGACCTGGTCCCAGACTAGGCAGATAGCAAGCCATGTTCACCCCACCTGCAAGGGATTCTCCAACACAAACCAGTAAAGAAGTTCGAGCACCAGATTCATGAGGTGCCTGAAAGCACCAAGTCTCAGGGTACACTCATGGCTGATGGAAGATGCAATCTTGGTTTTTACACAACCAATCTCCTTGTTATATTTCTCTTCACAGTTTCTCTGTATGTGACAGCAGTGCTCTAGGGTTGTGTCTAGGCTTACCTGGGCTCCTGAACCTGAACCTCTGACCATCAAACTTGTCATGCCCTGCTCTGACCCCAGTCAGGAAGGTCTGGGACCCTCTGTGATGTGCCACGGTGCCCACCTTGCCTGTGCATCCTGGATGCATCCCCGTGCAGTGGGGAACAGTGGCAGTGGTGGAAAAGGGTGGGAGGAGCATGAACACCCAAAGCTCGCTGACGTGGACCTGGCACAGTGGGAGTTGGCATCCAGACTCAGGAATTCGGAAAAATTCCTGGCTTCAATCATATTGCTGTTGCTGAAGCACCCTAGTGATGCAGGCGCTAATACAGTTTGTAGGTAACAGAGAAATCCCTTCTGATGCTTTGATGAAAGGTGATGTCAACACACATCACCTGCCAGCAGGAAATTGCAGCAGTGGGAACTGGCTTGTCCTGAAGAAGAGACTTTCCCATTGAATATGATGAGGAGCGACTGTAACACATAACAAACAATGAAAAGTTGCATTATTAAATGCACTGCTATTCTCAGTAGAAGCTGAGATGATGTGTAATTTAAAATGCTTCACCGTGCTTTTACCAGCCACTGACCAGACAGTCATGAATGAGGTGCCTAAATTCTATCACTTAGTCTTTGTAAATGTGGAGATCTTTGGCTTTAACCCCTACTCCATCAACGTTCCATTAATTCCTCAAAATCTAGTTCAGAGCTGCCAGTACATTTTCTACCAGACAGTATAGCTATTTATGTCATTTCATTGCCACAGTGTCGAAGTGCCTAAGAAAATTTACGAAAACCATGTATTTTGTCTCAGACAAGTCCTGTTCTGAGGTAAGTAAACGTAGAGGCTCTCTGTTGCTGTGTTTTTGCAGAAAGATTGCTTTGCCTTTAACATCATGTATTCAAAGGTTAAAGCATCAAAATCCAGGCAGAAGACACTTTATCTATTTAATTAGTTAGAACAATATGGGATGAGAGAAGTAATGGGACCATAAAAAAACCAGAAACTGAATCCTAATATAATTAGATGTGAGGGTTCCAGACAAAAAAAAAAAATAAATTCATCTTTATGCCATCAGAAGGCTTTATTAGGTTTATGTACAGCACTCTGCTTGTACCTGTGGAAGATAGACATTTTTGGACTGAGATCAGTGCATAAAACAGCTATTAGGATCAGCAGATGCATATCTCATTATGTGAGGATAGTAAAGTGCTTGACAAACCTCACACCATTGCAAAAGGAAAGGCAGAGGGGGGAATATGGTATATGTTTAAATGCATCATGGTGTAAACATATTGGAAGCAAAAGCTACTGAGACGAAAAAAAATGAACCTTCGAACGAGATTTATTGCAGGAGAGAGGAGGCAGAAACTACCAACCCGGCTTTGGGAGAGGTTTGGTCTGCACTAGACAGAGCTAGATTTATTCATTAGAATGATTATATGATGGTAGTAAACCAGACTCAATGACACAGATGTTGTATCTCAACAGCAGCCCTTCGAGGGCTTTGTGCCCTCCAGCACTTCCATGGACCTCCATGTGACCCCAGGGCGTGCACCACACACCCTCAATTGCAGGCAAGACATCCTTCTGTTTCAAGCATACACATAACAAAAAAATAAATTATTAGAGCCACAAGAGGAAGATAGGGACCAGAAAAATCCCAGGAATAAGTGTTACGTATTGTGGACATTGGGGATCTGTGGCACTTGGCATTAAGTACATAGATGTAACCACATCTATCCTTGCCAATAGCCCGCAAAATTACCCACTTCTGATTTTAGAATAGCCTTCTCCACCTCTCAGTGGGGTTTGAAATATCTCTATCACTATTATTTCTGACAGCCATTTGATAATTGTGTGTCTCTCAGGATGAAGAGATCTCAGAGTTTGATTTAGCCATCCTTGAAGCAGACAGATTCTTTTAATCAGAGTAAGTTACTTATTTCTGAGCAGAAACTAAAAGATGGTGTCTCACATTAATTCAGCCTCATCAGTCTCCCAGTAATGTTTTTTCAGGCTGTTTGGGGAGACCTCTTTCAATCCATTAACCACTTCCCTCTAAGATGAGGGAATTCCCCCTGTAAATGATCAGTCGTGTACCGTTGTTTCAGTCAGGGCAAGAATCACTCAGAAAAACTGAAAGTAATGCGGAAGTATATGGAAAATAATTTTTTTATGGAAGACATTTTCTGTGATGAGGGTGGTGAGGCAGTGGAACAGGTTGTCCAGAGAAGGTGTGGATACTCCATCCCTGGAAGTGTTCAAGGCCGGGCTGGATGTGGCTTTAAGTAACTTGGTCTAGTGAAAAATGTTCATGCTCATTGAAGTAAGGTTGGACTAGATGGCCTTCCAACCCGAACCATTCTGTAATTCTATGAAAAATACAAGGAACCAGAGAATGCTTGTTAAACAGCGCACTTGTTAGACGAAGGGTATTTCATACTGGGAATATATTACAGCCTTAGCCCTGGACATTAAATGTGGTGCCCATGGAGAAAAGTGTGATCCACTGTGCATGAGATACAGGACAGAAGTCTCTTAGTACACTAATCATGTCCAGTACACACCCTCAGACAGTGCCACACAGTGGCTGGGCAGGACACAGGGAATGGCACACAGCAGGAACTGTTCCCAACGCTGAAAGAGAGGGTGAGTCCACAAATGGTTATTAGCTTTGCAGACAGTTGATTTAAACCTATTTTTATTCTGTTTCTTGACCCTTTAATTTTCTTCCCTCACATTTTTCCTAAAAAGGCAGGACTGTACACAGTGTAGTCAATACTTGTGATTTTCATCACAGCTGCCCCTGTTTCTCTCTGAACGTCGTAAATTGCCACTTGAGGTATTATGGAAGAGAGACAGAGAACCCTGTCCAGACTCCCATGGCCTATTTTTTCCCGTGAATGGCTCCAGGAAATGGAGAATGACAGAGACTAAACAAACATCTTTGGCTTAGAAGAATCTTGGAGCTGGTTACTTTCTGCCTTGAGCCTGCCAAGTGTGGAAGGTCAAGTATGCCTGACATGACTGCTGGATATGATCTTGTACAGATACACTGGATGAAGCATATTTGCATAATTCAACCATCCTCAAAGCCAGTTCCCCTGGAGCCACCCTCATGGTAAAGTAGAAACCTGTTGCGTGTGTAGACAACCAGCCTAAAGGCTCCCAGTGAATTTGATGACTGTTGCTTGAATGAGACAGTCTTTTTCTCTGCAGGTGAGTTTCCTGGAGGTCTCAGCAGATGACTGTGTTTGGAGGCCAGTGCAGAGGAGCACTGATACACATCACCTTCACACAGCACAAACAGTTGGCAGTAGGTGCTGCTCATTTTGAAGGGCTCTCATGACGAAAGCACTAACTGGTCTTTCAGAGTCCGTGCTTTCACAGAATCACAGAATATGCAGAGTTGGAAGGGACCCACAAGGATCATCAAGTCCAACCCTTAGGCCTGCACAGGACCATCCCTAAGAGTCATACCATGTGTCTCAGAGCATTGTCCAAGTGCTTCTTGAACTTTGTCAGGTTTGTGGCCACTTCCCTGGGGAGTCTGTTCCAGCACTGAAGCACCCTCTGGGTGAAGAACCTGTTCCTAATATTCCAACCTAAACCTCCCCGACACAGCTTCAGGGGTCCTGTCACTGGTCACCATAGAGAAGAGATCACTGCCTTCCCTTCATGAGGAAGTTGTAGACTGTATTGAGGTCTCCCCTCAGTCTCCTCTTCTCCAGCTGAACAGACCAAGTGACCTCAGCTGCTCCTCATACCACTTCCCCTTAAGGCCCTTCACCATCCTCATTGCCCTCCTTTGGACTCTCTAATGGCTTCATATCTTTCTCACGCTGCAGTGACCTAAACTCAAGGTGAGGCTGCCCCAGTGCAGAGTAGAGTGGGACAATCCCCTCCCTCACCCGGCTGGAGATGCTTTGCCTGATACCCCCCCCCGGGCACAGTTGGCCCTCCTGGCTGCCAGGATTGGCCCTCCTGCCATCGTCCAGGATCCCCAGCCAGGGTGGCTGCAGAGGCTGCAGAAGTAGATCCCAACATTCCCAAGGCCTCTGGAGAGCGGGGGGCACAGAGCCCACGGCCGCTGCACCTTGGGCGCTGCGCTCCTCACCCAGGGGCATGTTCCCTCCCCACACCCTCCGGGGGGCAGGAGACAGAACAGCAACACACACCGCGATCAGCGGCCCCGCACCAGGAACCCTGTTCATCCCTCCATCCAGGGACGGCTCCCAGCGCCCGGCCCCGCTCCGGGAGGAGGTGCCACCGGCGGGGCGGGGACGGGCGGGTCCGCCCGGGGAGCGGCACAGCCCGGCCGGAGCCGCCGCGGGAGGCAGCGAGCGGCCGGGGCAGAGCCATGGCTCAGAGATACGACGTGATTGTGGTCGGAGGCGGCATCTCAGGTGGGTTCGGCGGGGTCTGGGGTCCATGATCGGCGGCGGTGCCGACGGGGCGGGGACGGAGCATCGCGGCGGGGGAGATGCTGCGGGCTGAGCGGGGCTTCTCCGGGGAGCCCGAGGTGCGAACGCATCCCCCCACCGGCTCGGTAAAGCTGGCTGAAGTCGGTCCCCATAATTCGGGCGGAATGCCATATGATGCAGGCAGTATTTTATTATTATTAAATTATTATTATTAATTTTTATTGTATTATTATTTTAATTAATTTTTATCTTATTTTTATTTTATAATTTGCATTATTATTATTATTTATTTTTTATTTTATTTTTATTTTTAGTATTTTTCCTATTTTTAGTTAATAATTTAGTATCACTTATTTTTTATTTTATTATTTTTATTCTTTTTATTTTTAGCATTTTTTAATTTTACTTTTTGCTATTTTTATTCAATTTTATTTTATTCATTTACATTTTGGTTTTTCTGGCTCTTCCAATGTCCAGTCCCAGCATCCCCTGAACCCCTGTAATTCTTCAAGGAGTCCCTGGACGCTTTGGACAGGCGTGTCTACATGTGCTCTGCATCCTCTACACCCAGTCCAGGGGTGTTATGCAGAGGCTTTCAGTCACATGATTAATTTAAATCTTGGGCTGCCTTTTGTTTAGCACAGGTAGAATCACAAAGCAAAAATGCCTGAAACCAGCTGGATGGTTTAGGAAGTTTCTAGTTCCCCTTTCAGTGCAGGTATGGGTCTGAGAGAATGAGCAGCCTGGCAGAAATGGATGGAGAAAGTATCGTGGGCTCTGGAGCCTTCTTGCATTTGAGTGACAATCTGCTGGTTTTAACCTAATCCGGGTTGGAAGACCTCTGTGCCTGCCAACAGTGAATCTCTTTTCTGTGTGTTTTTTTCCAAAATACATGTGCCAAATAAATTATGTATGCACAGTAGATAATTTTTTTTTCTTCTGTGCCTTTGACATATCAAACAATTGCTTTTTTGCTCCCTATCATTGGGAGGTATGCAGCGTGAGAGCTCCTGTCCTGTATGGCAATCTCCTCAGTGCATACATCCACAGATCTAAGTAGTATCTCTGGCCAAACCACAAACAAATTACTTGAGATGTGTTACAAAATGTGATTCTGCTAATCCATTTTTTTTCACATGGCTTTTAATTTCCACTGTTTATTTATATATAATTCTAGATGTCTGTTTAACCGTTATGTTAAGGTGTGCAGCATGCAATTTGAATGATATACAAAATGCAGTGACAAAATCATTCTCTGATTCTCTGATATGATTCTCTGATAACAAACTGCTGAACAGTGATTGAATGTTTCAAGTATGTTTACACAATTAGCAAAAATTAACCATTGCTTTTCTAGAAAGCATAGTTGATTCTGGACACAGCATTATGGCTAATTTTTAACTTACACTGTGTTTCACAGTGAAACTCAATTACAGAAATTAGCCAGTGGTAATTATCTGTTCATGCCTTGTAAACAAAAACATTTCCAGTGGCGTGGTTTTGTACAGCAGTAGTGCTACATTCCCTCTGTTGAATGAGTTGGAGTGAAAGAGTTAGTGTAACAGCTTTTAATATACCCTTGGTTTTTTTATGGTTGCCATGGGAATATTTTCATGGCAAGTCTGCACAGCCCACATATGTTTTTCTGTAGGAGCAGTCAGAAGAGAGAAGCACATGCTATGTGCTTCATGTTAAATTGTGCTTCACTCTTTGCTACCTGTAGACAGCAGCAAGTGGCAGTGGGGATGTAGGGAACCCGTTTTCTATTGACTTCTTTTTACACCAAATCTTCACCAAAGCGCTCTGGTTTCATTCTGTACCAACTTTTCTCCTGTCTTCACACAAAGGCTGGGAAAATTTACAGGCACAAAAATTACTATTGACTAAGTACCTCTCTTTAGTCACTTCCATTTAGCTGCTGTGTACCACTCCTGCTTCACCTCTGATTCCCCCTTCTCTGTAAATCATTGGCCTTGCAGCCAGGTGATGAAACTGTGGTTTTATATCACCTCATGCTGCTTGAAAACTCCTGTTAACATGCACAACCACTGTAGAAATCTCCCATCCACTGGAGAGTGAAGTGTGGGATTTTTAAAATGAGGGACTCCTTGGTGACCAGGTTTGTTATTACTCAACATTTGATGCGTTCCTTCGGAGAGTCACGGATTTTGAGCCGACTGAGGTTCTGTGGTTACTGCCTTTAGGTGAGGAAGGCATCAGTTGGTGCACAGCTGTAGAACAGCAGAAAGCTCTTGTAACATTCAGGTGTGCTTGAGTTGGTGGCTACAGCAGTCAGCAAAGCAGGTAATTGCAGAGCAAACAAAGAGGTGCTGTGCCAGCATGAGAATGTAAACAAACGTGTCCCAGAGCTGCCACCTGGCTGTCTGTATTCTGTTTGTTCCTTTATGTTTGTGCAAGCTGTCCTTTTGCCAACTCAGACCCTCCTTGGCAGCGGTTCTGTCTATCTTTTTATCCAGATGTAATCACTAGGGTCTAAAATTTAAAGAGTGAAAGAACCACATAATAGAATAGCAGTGCAGAGGCCCTCACAACCCTACCAGTCACTGTTCTCCTCTGAAGGCACTGATCTTTTATCTGAAGATGCCACTTCCTTTGCTGAATCATTTTTAGTGTCCTTTATTGGAGGTTTGATAAAAGGCAACAATAAAACTGAAGAACTGACTAATTTTAATTTTACGTAATGAAAATCTACTCAAAATTACTCTTCTTTTTTTTTTCAAGTCAAAAAAATGGTCTGTGGTTTGTCTGAAGATGTCAGACAATCTCAATAGGGTTTATGATGAAGAAGGCCTTTGAGGAACAGGGGGATTTACTAAGGAGTAGATTCTGGTTTTTGGGTAAAACTTCATCAGAAGTCCATGAAATATTTTGTGAATGGCATAGTTTAAAAAGAAATATTTTAAAGGAAAATTTCCCAGCGTAAAAAAGCATTTATGAAAATGCTTATCCACACACCGTGTGTAATATGCCTTGTACTAAAGAATATTTAGATCTGAAGCATAATAGGCCCTCATAGAGCTGGAACTTGCATCATAACAGGTTCTTTTCTTTGCTTAGTTGTCTCTTTTTCTTTGAAGGGCTCCTCAAGCATGAGGGTCAAAACAATTATTAGAAAACTATGAAGTTATGTCACCAAACTTGTTTATCTTCTTAATTGAGACACTGATGACAGAAATTTTCTTCAAATAAAATCTTGGAATCTATTCAGAGATTTTGTTTGAAGATTTTCTCCATATGTTTTCAAAAGGGCCTTCCTGTCCCTGCTTTTGCCATGGGAACCTCTTTCCTTCTTTTGTTTTCAAGTAAGTTAGCAGATTTTATCCTCATGTTATGCCAGTCCTACTTAAGAAAATGCTTCTCTTAAATCTCTGGTGCACAGATTTTACAATCAAAATGAGGTTAATTGATTCTCTTTTTTCCCCTGAAAGGTGAAGCCTTCTCTTAAATAGAGTGAATGTTATTTGAAGTATGCTTAATGTTTTGCTGTTCACAAGCAATCTTGTCATGTTCCTGTAAGTTTAGAACCAAAACATATGGTAAGATGAAGTATTTCTCTTGTTATGTTAGGTTTTAAAAATATTTACCTACCTATTGTTGCATTAGTGAGATACCACTGTGCTCTCTACTCTTCCTAAGCCTCCATTTTTATTTGTGTGATGATCTAATATTCTGTATAATTACAGTAGCTCTCACTGCATCTGTGAACCAGTTTCAAGTTGCTTTAAAAATAAAAACCAAACCAAAACACCCCAAACCAGGCCAGGTGTTTTGAGGGCTGTTATCTGAAAGTGTTCTATCTGTTTTAAAATAAATGCAGAGAGCAAAATTTTTTAAAACAATTTTTTAAAAAACTATTTAAAAAAAATTAAAACAAAACTAGGACACCTTGTAAGAAAACTATAGACAAGATGCATAATCTTCAGTAGATACTTGTTTCTTTTTGCTCTCTGATAGTAATTTACAATGTCTCAGTACTCTTCATTTGGAAAGATACTTTGCCAAATCAGGCACTATGTTTTTGGAGAGCATTTCTAGTGTGGGAATCTTATGCTAGATGGAGAAGAAAAAACCCCAGACCAAAACAGGTAATGGGCATGGATGGAATAGCTGTGCATGATGAACCAGAATGGGTACATCTGTGGGAGGACTCTGACCCTCTCCATGGGATATCACCTTCTCTGGGATGCACTGTGGCAAAGGGAATCAAGGACATTTCCCTGTCAGTTTACTTGATGAAGCTCTTGGTTCACATTTTGGTCCCCTGTCTCTGTATCTGCCATCAGGGAGTTATTCCTTTTGCATTCAACTACTCTCATGGATACTGTGAAGGAGTATGAGGCAGTTTGGTTGGAGCCTGCATTTGACTTCTAGATATTTCACAGGAAAAACTTGGCAGTGCACAGTAAACAGAACAGAAAGCAGCTGCATAATGTTGTGAAATAGTTTGGTAGCCTAGGCAGCAGGGACAGCACTTGTAATTCACTGTCTGATACCTCCTAATTGGTCTGAAAGTTGATTTGATAAGAAGCTTTCCAGTCTACCTGCAGGAGCCATCTCATCTTGCAAGGCTCAAAGTGATGCATCATTAAGGAAAGCTTTTCCATTAGCTTATTTAACCATTATGAAAGAGTGTTATTAGAGAAAGTTCATTCAGTCTGTTCAACAAAATGGAAAAACCACCATGGAAGGGCCAAAAAGGGTAAGTTAGGATGGTAAAATTTTGGGCAAAGAATTGCTGGGTAGCTAATATTCGAAATAACTGGTAGAGAATCAAAGCATATGTGTAGCAGCAGATGTTAGGGTTACAAACTGAAAGGTCCACAGGATTTTCTTATCTGTACTTCTGAATTGCATATTTTTTTTTGACAAACAAGATTAGGAGCAGGAGAGGCTGAAAGCTTTTTCTAAGAAAGTTCAGCGCATTGTTTTCTTGGACAACCACTTGCGGGGTGCTTTTAGTT